AGAGAGAGAGAGAGAGAGAGAGAGAGAGAGAGAGAGAGAGAGAGAGGGAGAGAGAGAGAGAGAGAGGGAGAGAGAGAGAGAGAGAGAAACACAATGTATGTCGAAGGTTTCTTGCTTTTTCAAAATTCAATGTTCATATTTTGGTTCGATATTGTGTCTATCGAAAAATTATTGCACAATGCAACGAATAAGGTTTGCGTACGGAACGGAGCAGATTGGCTGATGCTCCGGATTAATTTTGCAGACGATGGCTTCTCTTCTCGTTGTCTGTTTCACGCTCTTTCATCCATACTTTCGCTCTTGTCGATACAGTATGGAATCGGATGAACGATGGGCTCACTTTGTAATTATACCATATTCAGTCGCTCGTTCCGCATTAAACGTGCCAAGTGGAAAACATTTTTCGAATGCACAGACAGGCGGCAGTCACGACATATTAAAATAGTTTGATAATAGACAAAGGCCTTTTTCAAAGAGAGGTAAACGCACAGTTGAATTATTGAAAAAAGGAGAATCAAACCATTCTCAGTCGGCTACTGTTTTATCAGTTTCAAGAGAAGTGGACGCACTGACAGTGTGCATTTGTTCGTTGTGTAGACGACGACGACGACTAGAGTCGTATACGGCAGCGATGACGACGTACCATCGATGGCATTGATTATAGTTTTTTATTGAAGTTTTCCTCCGGAAAAATTATTGTTACAAAATATGTAAATGCAAAAGCTATTGCTGAATGGACTGAAAGGCAGTTGATGTTGTTGAGTGCTATTGCCACCGTCACGTCCAGTGCAATGCTGTTCAGTGCAAATGCTACCATTGCTTTTGCAACCAACTTGTTATAAGTCAGAACCATCATAGATATTTGTAGATAGGCATAGGCATACACACTAGATATAGATTTCATCGATATGAATAGAGTGAGAGTGAAAGATACACAGAGTGTTGGTCAACAGTCTGCATTGTGGACATTCCATTATAGAAATTCTATACACAAAATTGTGAACACAATAATTGCACAATGTTGCAATGATAATTTTCAATGAATGAGATGCAATTTATAATACAACATACACACACACACACACACACGCATGCCAACGTCTGGCTGTACAATCGATCGACAACATGTAAAACTATTTTCCATTGCCGTAATAAATTTTCGAATGTACACATCTACATTATACGTATACACATACTGGAAATGAACGAAGAAATTCGATAATATTCATATTAAATTGGTGCATAACATAATTATTAAAATGTGTTTTCGGTTATTTCAGGCCTGAAGAGAGAGTGTGTATGTAACACACGCAACGTGTTGGGGTTTTCAACGAGTCGCAGTCGATTATTACCATTTGAGTGAGTATGCGTAGTTAGAATATATAGTTAATAGCTTTCTAGTGCTTCACGGATGCTGTTATCACAATGTATATATGTGGATATTTCAAAGCAGCACACACGAAAGACGCACGACGCACGACGGAATATTAATTCAACGAAGAAAGACGAGAAAAAAAACCAATTCACCCGCATTCATTTCTATTTTGATGGCTTGTTATTTGAGATTTTTGTGGTAATGCTATGTGCAACATTGAATGCCGTTCTAAATTGACAAATCAATCCGCATGCATTCCTCCTCCATTCAATTTCCGAATAATTTCAATATTCAGTTTGCATATACATACGACGACCGATTCGAACCACACAAACTTAAGACGATGAACGCTGCAATTGTGACAAATCCAATTTTTTTCAAGCGAGACACAGACACACACACAGAGAGAGAGAGAGAAGGAGAAAAATGTTAAACGGGAATATGAAAAATAACGTGCAATGGAATATTGTATTAAATTGTTCGGATTTATATCCACATTTACGTGCATGCATTGCCATGCAATACAATGCAAAGAGATGCAACATCGACTACAATTTTTTGCAGCATAAAATTGGATTGTTGCTTAAATTTAAAGACAATAATCACATTGCATATATTCCAAAGATATTGGGACACTTGTATCGATTTCATTTTTCTGCTTATTTTTATATTCGGTGAAATATTTTCGAAAAATATGATCACTTCTCGCTTCCATAGTATCCGTTCCAATACTGTTTTCCGCAAGTAAACTTATTCCATTCTTAAAAGTCCTTTATATCTTACATGCTTCTCCAGAAAATTTGAAACTGCAGCTTTCGGGGGTGGGTGTGTGTGTGTGCGCGCGTGATGTGTATACGCGTGCTTATTCACTCTGCTCGAGCGTTAGTATTCCCAATTCGGCATTTTCTACCTACCTACGTGTAGTTTGAACTTACGAAATATGCATGTTTCATATTCACACAATAACAAAAAGCCACACGCTCACACACAGATGATGTTTAGTTTATGCTATCGCTGTTATTCTCCGATGGATTTTTCTCGCACCATGAATCACTTAACGTTTCAGTCACTTCTTCCACTACCATATATAAATTCCATGCCTCACTCGAAAAATACGATGATAAAACAATAGCGCTCAAACAGAGCATAAGAAAAGCAATTCGGGAAGATCACTTCTTCGCACACTGACTCGCTTCAAAAATGAAATTTCCTTTTGGATCAAACCGAAAAAACAGTGTTTCCTGTGCTGGTGCTGTTGCTGTTGCTGTTGCTGTTGCTCGCGTTATGTATTGTGAATTCAGATTTTTATATGTTTTTTCCACTTTTATTCACTTGGACATTTGAAAATAAATAAATGAATATCGTTTTCCTTGGCGCACGGACAGCAGAAGAGAAAGACGAAAAAGAAATATATGGAAAAAAGCATGGGAATCATCGAGAATGTGGCAAGAAATGTGTTCGCTGTACACTTTCCGTTGTCTGCTGTCGGTGCTGCTGCTGCTGCTGCTGCATCAGAGGATTGCGTCATGTAATAATGGGGCATATATATGTGTGTGTTCATTTTTATCATGTCATTCATATTTCGAGCATTATTGTGCATTCAGGTGCATAAAATAGAATATTTTAAATTCGAAAGTATATCGGTGGGATACATGCGCATACGCCAGAAACACTGTGAATTATGCATTGATGAAGCGGTAAATTGATATTATGCATATTGGACAGTAATAATAAAGACCCGTCTTGGAACGAAAACGAAACGAAATGGAACAAAGCCAAAGCGAAGAGCGTCGGCTCCAATGGACGAACAAGTGTGGTTGGTGATCAAAGAAAACACAAAACCCGAATGACAAACATAACAAACAAAACACTTACACATAATTCCCGGTTTTCACTGTGTGTTCGTCTTGCATCCCGCTATGATAAGAGTAAGCACTTTTTTCCTTCACTCTCGAACTTACTTGGTCTAAATTGTTTTACTCTCTCTCTCTCCCTCTCTGTTTCATCTGCAATGTTATTGTTACGGGAGAATACATGCTGTGAACTGTTATGTGTACATTTGACACCTTTTTGATGTTCTTTCCATTGAAATTCATATATGCAGCAGAATGTTTGTGCTTCTTGGCTTCATAAAAATATACACATCAATACACATAGGTGCAGAGATACACACAATAGGGCACAAGTTAAATGAACGAGAGCGGATACAACGGCAAACATGCTCCACAAATTGCGTGAATTGTCGATTCGACTGATACACATTTCAGGCATGAATTCCATGGATCTGTTGTCGTTGTACACCGACCAAAGAACAACAATAATAACGATGATGACCATTATCAAGCACTGCATGCACACACACACACATAGCTAGATCATGCTGACATCGGACGCACTTGATAAACTTGCTTACGAAATGCATGTGAAAATTGGTGTTTGTGGGCCATATATGTCATACTAGTGAGTGATATTGAGAGAAATACACGAAAAACAGAGTGTGTGAGAGGAATCTCTCTCTCTCTCTCTCTGTGTGTGTAATAACGAGAATCAAATATATTTCGTGGAGACGTTGTTTCCATCTTTCGAATGTTTCATCATCTTCTTATGCAGTTTATGGTTGCGTTGCTGTAAGTTATAACGCTTGAATAATTCAGTTTAGTGTATTGGTTTGCTGGTGTGCTAGTGTGCTGCTGTAAATATTTATTTCACCTAAATATGACATCATTCCCTTCAAGTCCAATTGTCATCTTGTACAAACATCTAGCGAGTGTCTAGAATACAATTTCGAGTGATGCTTGTGACATTATATCGCGTTTTTATTTTCAGCAGAGATACATACGCTCATGAAGTGTTTGTGAATTCTGGTGTGTGTGTGTGTGTGTGTGTGTGTGTGTGTGTGTGTGTGTGTGTGTGATTGTTGTTTTTGTTGTTGCTACTGCTCCTGCTGCTGCTCCTAATAAGGGATAAGAAGATGTTTCGCTAGACCTATATTCTGGCTTTATAAATCGAATTCGACACTGAGTTCCAATGATGATCACAAAATTAATGTTTGGTTCGCAATTTCATTTGCTCATACGTTTATCGGGCATCATTATTTGCAAAGCTGTTTCTTTAGCTGACACATAGAAAATATAGCAGCAATCGAATTTGTCGCACGTAACAATGACAGACATACTCCGCAAGAACCGAAATTGGGCACACAAACACAACATTTGTACAATAAACTCCTAGCATAGCTACTACCGTATGGGGTAACCGTGCATATTTTGAAGCCAAACATCATACGTCATAAAAATGTCTCGTTAAAACCAGTGAATGTGTATAATATGCTCACACACACAAACAGCAGAACTTGTGAAAATTGAAAACAATGGTCCCTTTTTTTTATTGTGTATCGAAGAAATAAAAACGAAAACAGCAAAAAGGTGTTTTATCACGTTTTTCCTTTTGTTTCCAAAAATTATAATATTTCGCGAATTGCCATTGTTTAGCTCCGTTGCAAAGCAGTCCGTTGTCACCGTTGTTGTGAAATTGAGGATATACCCGCAACAAGATATAATAGCGACTTGGTGTTAGCATCTCATTTTACCTCGGAAAATGGTTATTTTGTGTGCTCTGTAGAAAATGGTGATGATAAAATATATATATATAATATAAATAATAATTCAACTTGGAGCGCAACAGCTCCGACCAATCGAAAGGAGAAGAAAAAAACACGAAATTTTAAGCGACTTTAAGTGTATTAAAGCCGCTGAGCCCGTCTACGATGACGATGTCGACGTATCTCTCTCCCCCTCTCTCATATATGCAATGAAACAAAAAAGGTCCGAAAGAATTTCCTCCAATGCGGAAAGGAGCATAAAACAAACATTCACATAGAAGGATAGAGAGGGATAGGATGGAAGTGAGCAAAAAAAGACAAAACAACCAAAGAAGAGAAAAGAAATTATTTAAATGAGAATTGAATAAAATTTCTATGATGGAAAAAAGCGAATATGGGTTAAATTGAGAGAGTGTGAGTTCATCTAAATTTTATATGGGCACGATTATATCCTTGAATAAAGCACGAGCAATATAATTTACACGTATGTGCAAAGTACAGAAGCATTCGAATGCGAGCCAAGTATAGAAATAATACATAAAAAAACATAAACCAAAAGAAATATTTAAACCGAACGAGTTACTCTAAACTAATATTCAATACGAAATCCGACGAGTGCAAGAGAATAAAAAAGCAACGAGCAAAATGAGAAAAAATGAGATTTGATCATATGGAAATAAAAAAGGGCATATATATGCCTCATCGACGAAAAAAACTTTACTTTGGATGCAACAAAATCCGTCGATTCACTTTAACCCGTGATTCTATCAGTCCTTTTTTCGGTTCGCTGGTTCATTGTGTATTGTGCAATGCATTAATAGCAACAACAAAACAAGGTACACAAAGCAAAACAGATGCATACAACCGACGAACGAGAGGGAAAGAGTCAGAACGAAAAAATGATTGTGCAAGTAGTCAAGAAATCACTGGAAAACACGATGAAGGCAGCGACACAACAACCAAGCCGAATGGAAATAAAAATCGTAAAATAATGAAATAAAGAGGCAAAGAAAACAACCTAAATCTATATTTGAAAGCGCAAAAATGTGTAAAAGTCGCACATGCACACCGTTTGAGTAGAATTTTTTTTTCCGACTGTATATTTATTTTGTTTGAACGACAGTCTTACCCCCACCATAGGCTCCTTGGATCAAGGATCCGTTCGGCTTGGTCTTGCTGAGTGCTCGAGCTTGGTTTACCTTACAGTCTTACACATGACTATGCAAGTGTATTCCCGTCCTTTATGCTTCACTCCGCTGATTCTCGCTCACACTCTTACGATCTCTCTCTCTCTCTGTGTCGTTTGGCAAAGCGTTTCCCATTTCTTATGCCATTGTCATAGGTGCCTATCACATTTATACAAATTCAAATTGAGTGTGTATA